TATATATATATATATATATATATATATATATATATATACATGTATATATATATATATATATATATATATAAAGATGCGTTCTTTATACTTTATATTTTATACACTTTTAACAAAACCACTATTTAAAGTCGAGGGTTTAGGGTTTAGGGTTTAGGGTTTAGGGTTTACTTGATGAGTTGTATTTCGTTGTCTAGTTCTTTCTGTATATATTTTGCATCATTATCTACGGTCTACTCTCTACAGTTTAGGGTTTAGGGTTTAGGGTTTAGGGTTTAGAATTTAGAATTTAGTGTTTAGGCTTTACTGTTTAGAATCTATGGTTTAGAGTTTAGGGTTTAGAGTTTAGGGTTTAGGGTTTAGGGTTTAGGGTTTAGGGTTTAGGGTTTACCTCAGGCCCTGAGTAAGTTTTTTCTACGAGTTGTTCCGCCAGCGCTTTTATATCGCTTGGGGGGCAATTAACAAGAAAAGGGAGACGTTGAAGAAAAGAAACACTAAAAAAATAAAACATAAAAAGTTTTAGGGTTTAGGGTTTAGGGTTTAGGGTTTAGGGTTTAGGGTTTAGGGTTTAGGGTTTAGGGTTTAGGGCTTTTTTCAAGCAGAAGACGGCATACGAGATACATCGGTGACTGGAGTTCAGACGTGTGCTCTTCCGATCTTTTAGGGTTTAGGGTTTAGGGTTTAGGGTTTTAGGTATAGGGTTTAGGGTTTAGGTTTTAGGGTCTAGGGTAGGGTTTAGGGTTTAGGGTTTAGGGTTTAGGGTTTAGGGTTTAGGGTTTAGGGTTTAGGGTTTAGGGCTTAGGGTTTAGGGTTTAGGGTTTAGGGTTTAGGGTTTAGGGTTTAGGGTTTAGGGTTTAGGGTTTAGGGTCGAGGGTTTAGGGTTTAGGGTTTTGGGGTAATATGAATACGCAGAAAAATAAATTTATTATGTAGGCAAATATACACAAATGCTTATTCATTTATTTTTTTATTAATTAGGGTTTAGGGTTTAGGGTTTAGGGTTTAGGGTTTAGGGTTTAGGGTTTGTTGTTAATAAGTATATAAATAAACAACTACAAAAAGAAAAACAAAAAAAACAAAACGCAAAATAAATAAATAAATAAATAAACAAACAAAT